ATCTCATCTGATCACGGTTTACTTCATGATAATGGTGACAGGGGAATGTGTTGAGAGATGAAGACGATACAGACGGCGAAAGCGATTTGGGATCCTCGTCGAAGTGAGGACAGTGTTACTCATTCTCGGCTCTGCAGACTCTACAGTGAGAGCTGGAGGTTCGTAGGGGACACCACTGACAGGTGTTGAGAATAGTCCCCCTCCCAGAAGCCATCCAAGCTCGCCTAGAACTCTGAACTCGTATTTTTGAGTAACTTTATTGAGAAGTTCAACAGTATCAGTATATCTTTCTGGCGGGAAACATAGAACAAGGCCATCGACATGGAAAAAATGATATCATAATAATTCATGGAAACAAATGATTGACCTGGGACTTGATCTAGGCCATGTAAGGATTCTGGAGAAATGCCTCAGGCAGTATTTATGGTTCCTTTTTTTTGCATCAGATATTAATTGCGTATGCAGCTGTCTAGATATGACACAATATCAAAGAAAAGTACAGAATAAATGATTTAACGTAAGGGAAGAGCACTCATGCCTCGGATTTCATTTGCAAGTACCACTGCGAAGTTATGACGGCTTTTTCTTCAACCCAAGTTAACCCTCATCCACACATACCCACCCAGGGGAACGTCTAAAAACCCTGAGTTATCCAGACATGCGTCCATCATCCATCAACTTTTCTCCGCGCGAAAAATGGTCTGAGGCGTCTCCTTCCCAAGTGGAGTAGGTGCCCTAGCTATTCAAACCATACCAGAGAACATCTATATTCTTGATTGCTGTACGTGCAGTGAGATATATACATCCGGAGAACCCTTTACTTTATAAATTCTACTTCTAATCCTAATGTATTACCCGTCTAAAGGAATAATATTCTAAAACCAATGCCATTTTGTTGAATTCTCTATATACCCTTTGTCGTGGCGGAAGCCAGGCTATGTGGGTGTATTTTATTTCTTGGTTTTAAGGATATGTTACTTTAAGGCAGGTTGTCTTTATTCTCTGGAATAGCCGTTCTTAGTTCTATGTATTTCAAGTTGGTGGTAGCACTGGAGAATGAGCTCGGAGTTAATGTGCCGAGCAAGATTTAATAAACAAGCTTTTTAGTGCTACTTCTTTCATGACCACCACCATAATAGCAAGATGAACAATAGACATCAAATTTTCAACCAATTCCATTTGTCGAACGTTTATTAGCAATACTGAAAATAAGATAATCAATATTTCTTTCGTGTCAAAGTTTGAATTAATATAAGTATATTAATAAACATATCTCCCATTACCGCAAGTCCGCATTAGTGTAGGGGTTAACATACTCCGCTTTCAAAACTACGAAGGTCCGGAGAGCCCCGGGTTCGATTCCCGGATGCGGAATCCAGCGTATGGGCCTTTTGTGCCACTACGCACAAGTGGACCATACGCATTATTCCCCAAATTCGAGTTGTTACGTATTTTTATAAATCATTTAAGCGTATTCAGCTATGGAGTTATCACACATGGCCGGTGCTATGTTTACATGTTGGATGACATTTTTGACGTTAGAGACACTCATACTCTGGATTTCATTCTCAAATACCACTATGAGGTATGCTTGCTTACACAAACAGTCGACCCTCCTCTGCAAGTACCCACCAAAGGGACGTTTCAAAACCTTTGATTGTCCAAGCTTGCCTACGTTATCCGTGTATACCAGCGCCGCGAGAAATATGGTTGTGTTTTGCCAGATTGGAACCAACGGTCTCCTGTCTCGAGTGGGATATGTGTCCAAGCTATCCAGACTCTACTTGGCAGACCGGCCAAGACGATGTACCATCGCACCATCAAACCATGGCGGTGTTTATTGTGTCGCCTGCACTCTCGCAACCGAAGTCTTGGCTAGCACAAAGATCAATTTGTAAAAACTCCTTGCTCAAATTCAAAATTCCACGCCCGTCGAGACTGTATCTATCCTCTGCATCATCTTATCAACTTGTCCTGATATCTCTCACGTCTATCTCAAAGGACTGTCACCTAGATTTGTACGCCACGCTTTGTGTCCTCCGTCGGGTATAAATATCGGCTTGGGCGTGTATTTGGTGACCGGCTGAGGCCAAAGAAAGTCGGCGAGAGGTGTGATCATTGGAATGAGGATGTACTAGGTCGTACTTTTAGACTTGATGAAGCTTAGTTGAGAATCGGACTCTTTGGGAGTGAAAGATTGACATGGTGGAGTAATTTGAAATTTTGCCTCGTGGGCCAACTTCTTTGATATTGCGAAATTTGACTGAACTTGGCTCTGGGAGAATATTTCACTCCCAGGTTCGCAGAGGACACCGCGTACAGGTTTTCAGTCTTGCCCTCCAATGTCGAAATTGCATCTACGAGCTAACCCTGAACATATGTTGTCCTCGTTCATGGCATTCTTTCCATCAGATATGGAAACCTGTCAACTGTCTCTTACAATTCAGGTTGCAAACTCTTTTCCCACAGCTGAAATACAGTGACAATGAAAAGTGTATGTAAAGTTTATTTATTCGGCTGGCATTCTGGAAGATTGGTGTTGGCGTGGTTTTGGTAAAAATTCTGCCCTGCCAAGACCCAACGATTGCGCAACACAACAAAATCATTCTTCACGATGCTAAACACGAACGATTGAAAATATCGAACCAGCCATACTACTTTCTCAATTATGTCACGTGCCTAGGTTATCCATAATCTATAAAGGAGTCCGGCCAAAATAATGTACTGCCGCACCATCCAACCATGGCGCTGTTTATAGTATGGCCTGCACTCTCATCTTGTCCTTGTGCTGTAAAGCCCGCATCGACAAATCCTACACCTTCCAGTAGTGCCGGTGCCAACACTTAGCCCGTTCGTCTGTCTGGGATAGTCAAGAAGAGTCTCAGTCTGATCTTTCTGGATCCCCAGTCACCCACGTAAGTTCTGGTTGGCTTCGTCCCATCACCCCAATTCTTGACACCTCTTTGACAAAGAACTGCCATAGCGACCTCAGAGACATAGAGTTAGGGTTTCAACTAATCCAAATATATAGGTGGCAACAAAATCGCTTTTAGTAGGCTACTTGCGTAAGTGATCAGTGCTGGTTGGGCCTTGTAGAGGCGACAGGTTAAACTCCTACATGGCTTATTTTAAATATGAGTGCTGCTGCTCGTCGAAAACGAGTTCGGGAGAAATGTTCAAGGCTTTCCTATTGAGGTTTTCCTACAAGTTATTCCTCCGCTTGTGACCTTGGCGTCATAGTTCTACGTTCCTACTCATCTAAGCCGATGTAACAAGCTGGCTTAAACGCAGATAGTAGGAAATCTCGGGTAGTGGTTGGGCACTACTATAGCTCGGAGGATCATATATTCTAGATAAATTCTCTTCAGAAAGATACGTGGGCCACGGTATTACATTGTGAATGTTGACTTGAGAGCTCTTATGCTATAGATGAAGTCTATGTACTGATAGCCAGGTCATGTGACCTGACTAGCTTAATTTACATGAGTAGGTGGCATAGTTCCCCTTGACAAATTCCATACGTCCAATATCCTGAGAAATGTTGGCCTGGCCCACGTCAGACAACAAGTAATATCTCCTCTAAATTTCATGTGTAGTTAAATAGTTAAAAATAGAACAATATATTATGGAAATAATGATCCCTCAGTCATTGAGGTTGTAGAGCGCATTCATTCAAGTAACTAAGAGGGACTTTTCTCAACACCTGTCAGTGGTGTCCCCTACGAACCTCCAGCTCTCACTGTAGAGTCTGTAGAGCCGAGAATGAGTAACACTGTCCTCACTTCGACGAGGATCCCAAATCGCTTTCGCCGTCTGTATCGTCTTCATCTCTCAACACATTCCCCTGTCACCATTATCATGAAGTAAACCGTGATCAGATGAGATGGTAGGGTCGGAGCCCTACTCATCACCAACCCTTGATCATGGAGGAGAAGCCATCCGATGAGTCTCCGGAGCGTACCAAGCACCCGAAACTGAGATGGTGGATTGGATCAAATCGACCTCAACTGCTACAAAGAAGGGAGATATAGATGAATATGCGAACCTCATGTGATCCCGGTGTCTAGGCCTCGCCTGGCTGTAGCTGCAGGGTTTTGAGACTTTCTCCCGCGCACGCAGTTTCCGTTATTACCATTTTTTTTGGGTAGAAGGTTCCGTGGAAAAGGTGGCCGAATTCCAAGGATAAACACTGAGCTGAATAGCTATTCATCGAGGGAAATGTATCAATGATCTTTCAAGTGACAAAAGATGCAAAGAGTAATGTACGAGGTGTTGCTTGGGTCAGAGAGGAGCCCAATGTGCTAGATGGTCTATGATTCAAGTAGTATAATAATAACACACATTCACCACGACGCTAATTATACCCGCAAGTAGGAAATAATTCATAAAATACAAAGCTCGGGGTCTAGCTTATGGCGGACAGATCCCCTAATGGAGCTCTATATCTTGACGAAGTGTGTGCAACTGGGATGTGTGATAAGAGAGAAGAGAGCTTTCATAGGTAACAAAGTACTGAGATTATCGAGGGGGTTTCAATTTTGGAATATTTGTAGACGCCAAGACGGAGATCTCAGTTGATTAGCCAAATTTATATTTTCAATGAGTCAAGCCGCATCACCCTAACGTTGAAGAATTCAAAATAATATAATTTAATAAAATTTGCTAGCCAGCTAACTTAACTGTAATTAGTAACTATTAAGATGGTTTACTTTATGCTCCACTTAGATGGGCAAGACTAACAGTATAGTTATCCCAGACTCACCACAAATTATCACAGCGTTCCAAGCTACTGACATTACTCATTCCTTTTGATATACAAATATTAAATATGTTTACACCACCCGTATTAGAGGCAACACGTAATGGTAAACAAATACAATTGTCCTCAAAATATTCGATAGTGAATTCGCATCTTTGCGGAAGCGAAAATTTGAAAACTGTTAAATTATCTTTTTTCCTCTCCTAAAATTTTATTAATTTAGCGGATGAAGATGGTTTCTTTAACTCATTATATTTTCTTTATCGCCGGATTCTCCCAGATAATTACTGCTGAAGTGATCTTGTCCGGTTTTAAATTCTATCATATTTTTGACATGCTCAGTGAATTGATCTACACTCTCCATTACCGTTTCACCGGATACTACCGAGCTAATTTCGTCAGCTAAAATTCTTTGACTTGGCCACATTTCCCCAGTCACAAGCATAAGTTTATCAGGTCTCTGAAAGATGATATCAAAGGCTTTTCGAAGTTCAGAGCATGATTCAAATATTTCACGTCGCCCTAGAATGTACAAGCCGAGTCTTGCGCGCGAGAGTGCCACAGTTAAGCGCCGAATATCCCGTAAGTATCCAACCCGTGATGTTCTTGTGAGAGAAAGTATCACATCTAAATTTTGTAAGCTCGTATATAAGAAAATGCGGAATTGCTGCTTACAGTCATTTTGTTCTCCCTGATATTTGTCCACGGTAGTAACAATCTTTGGAAGGTTGAATATAGGATTACGTGCACAGTGTATACTCAAAAGCTCTTTTATCAACTCACGTTGTCCAGAATAAGTGGTCAGTATAGAAATACTTGGCGCTGGGTAACCAAGCAGTCTCATATACTGGTAAATGGCTACAGCGTATTCGGCCTCACCTTGGTTTTGAATAAGATGTGGCGATGGTTCTGATTCTCCTCTACCCTGGTAATCGACTACATTTATGAATTGATAGTCAAATTTAAAACCAGCATTGGCTATTTGAAATTCAGTTGCTGCGAGTACTGAAGACAGGTTCCCCAATTCTTGATAGCGCCAAGAGTAGAGGGATGCAATCGATGGCCGAGCTCGGCCTTGTTGATCCAAATTTATTGTTGGCACACCTAGACGGATGAGGCGGTAAAAGAGAGACTGTTCGAGGTTGGCATATTGCCGGAAAGCTAGATTCTGAATTACAGGCGAATTTTGGAAATGATCTCCACAGAGGACAACACGCTGAAGGGGCATTTTTCCATTCTTAGGAAGTTGTAGTGCTAAAGGAATGAAATTTTCGATTTCAGTTATTTGAGCTGCTTCCTCCATAACCACGTTATCGTAATGAAAGCCAAGCGATACGATTTCACCCCTCCGAATGGCTGCATATGTAGAAGTCATGGCAATAATCCGCGCTTCATTTGTTAGTAAATAATTAGCTTTATCGCGGTCTCTTCTCAACACTTCAAATGGTCGAATATCAGCGAGTTCTGAAAATATTTTTGAGATATGGAAATAGCAGCCATTAGCGATGTTCAAGATAGTTTCTCTGCAAGAACCCTGTGGAAACAGTGGCTGGGGTGCGTTAGAGAAATAGTGGTGGAAAGGAAATGCTTGGATGAGACTCTCAGCAGAGGTATCTACTGAGCTTGCTAGTTGCTGAAAGATTTTCCAAGCTGGCTCGACGTAAACCAAATTAAAATAGCCCGCAGCTTCGGCAGAGCTACCGTGGGCACCAGGGGCGCCAAAGTTAGCTGCAAGACGGTCAACTTCTTGTAGATAACTTTCCCTGTTATCAAGAAATGATTCAACCCTTCCGTGCTTGCTAAAATTAGATTCTGTATCTAAGTCATCAGCATGGCCTAGTCTTAATAGATGGCGTTGATCAATATCTAATGCGACTATTTTTTGAAACAAGGTATTTAAGGCTTGATTGCTGTGCGCGATCAGTAAAGTTCGCTGTTCGGGAAAATTATGATAGATTATATTGATAATTTGAGTTACAACATCAGTCTTCCCAGTTCCGGGAGGGCCAACAATGACCGTAAGTCCTGGCTGCGATCCAGATATGATAGCTTCGGCTTGGGTCGGAGTAAATCGAATCTTATTTAGTTTAGATGAGTCTGTTGGATATGGGCCTGTATTCATGGGCTGATATGTTGATACTCGGACAGATAAAGCTCCATTTTGATGGGGAGGTTTAGTAATACGACGTCGCTTCTTTGTGGGTTCAATTGGATCTTTTGTTTCAGTGTTTTCAAACTCTAAAACATATGGGGGCCTGATATCTTCGACTAAGTCATTGCTGATATTGAGAGCTTTTCCCGCGAGGGATTCGATCAAATGCTGCCGATCGAGAAAAGTATCCCGGTAGTCTATCTTTTTTATTCGATTCCCTAGACATCGAAAGCTTGCACCACTTGGATCACCATAGCCGAGGAAAATATCGTGAAGCCATGTTGCTAGTGGAACATCCGAAAGAGTGAGATTCTGTATTGATTCAAGGATAGGCTTGAAATTGTTTTCCCTGCCTCGCCTTCGAACAATCACATTTAGAGACTCGTAAATATTTGGTTTTCCAGTGGATACGAGTTCCATGTCCTCGCGGTATGCGGAGGCATCTAATTTCACTTGCAACTTTTTTATTCGTGATCTAAAATATCCATTCTCGTGGTTTTGGTCATTCAATTGACGTCCTTTTTCGTCAAGTACATGAATAACTTCAGCCGCTCTCAAGTATCTAAGCCCTGGTTGCTGTGGTTCAGATGTCATTTCAACATCGGTAGGCGTGGAATTGCCTAAAATTTGAACTGAAAGAAGGAAGACTACATCATCAATTCGTAGAGAAGACCAATCTCTTCGCGTGTCATCACTCATACGGCTTGTATCCAAAATAATCTCCGCTAAAACTTTAGAGGGCATATCTTGACCTACGAGAGGCGGACTGACTTCCAAGATACTATGCTTTGTTAGAGGAGTTTATATTCGAAGTGAAGGTGCTTACACAGGTTTTGGGATTTGTAAAGCCATTTTTGAGGAGCCCTCAAAGTTTGTTTGGCCATTTTGACTAGCGGAGGGTCGTAATTGTTTTATGGTGTCTTCAATATGCTTCCTTATTTCGTAGAAACATTCACATCGATGAAGGATTAGAGACCGGGAAAGAAAGTCTCCAACGGTAAGGTATTGTAAGTTTAATTTTGGGATAGCAAGAGGTTGAGAACCATTATAGTGATCATTCCTCAGTAATGATGGATCAAACAATGTGATCTCAGTAGGCAAGATACTAAGTTCTTGAGCAGATTCATGAAAAGTCTTCTGCTTTTCATGCACAGAAAGTAGAATCTCTATTAATAATTCACGACTTAGCAGGATCCCAGTAGAAGCAGGATATTGAGTCCGTATCTGAAGCAATTCACACAATTGAGCGAGTTCCTCGTCCGAGAGAGTTTCTACGTGACTTCGGAGCTCATCCTGATTTCCGATAGATCCATAATTTGATAATGCCAATACTGTTAATTTGTCCCTGAAGTTCCTGAAAGCTGTTCTCTGCAACATAGCAAGACTTGAGCAGTGACGCTCATATGCTCCCTCGAGACCATAATGAACTCCGGTGTAGTCGTCTATCGGAAAATTTGTATAGTGCTTCAGAAGTGCTAGTAGGTCTCTTAAAAGTCCGTTTTGTTCTTGATTAAATACAGGAGAGTTTCTGATGGCTGGTATAATATTCAGATCCTGGAGCATTGTATTTACGTACCTTCTGGTCGGTAGTTGACTTTGAAGATCAGCTAATAACTCAACGAAGCGTTCACAATATCTGATATTACCTGTGGAATATTAGTCGCTTCAGAAGTCCATCTTAATTCGGTTTTCTTACTAGGCTTACATCCAGCGTCATACAGCTGCCGGAGAAAGTCGAAAACAAGTGTTAATAACCATGACCTTTCTATGCGTAATCTTGACTTGGTCGCCGCATCGGCTGCGTCATATCGCTTTATCGAAGCCCTCCAAGCCTTGCGGACCTGTATATTTTGATCGAGTTTTTGCTCTCTTTTTCTGTCACAGGATAAATTGTGCCAGATAGATATCGAAACCAAAGGAGCACATTCTTTCCGGACAATTTCACGTTCCAGGGATTGGAAAGAATTAATAATAAATGATAAAACATGGATTCTAACTGTAGAAGATAAAGAAGTATCTAAGCTCAGTGAAATTATTCTTCGAAATAAAGATGAGAAATCAGACTTCTTATCGTAAAAGGTGTCTGTATCTGTCAGCAAGTGTTGTTGTAACAGTGGAAAAAATTACCCCAAACTGGTAGATGTTCTCTGGCTCTGACATTTGATAGTAGGACGATAAGAAGTACATGGATATTTGAAGCATCTTCTGTGAATCCTGGCCATAAATAACTTATTATAGAGTTAGAATGAAACTTTATGGTCGCTGGTTTATTTCTCACTCCTCGAGAATTTGTAGGTTCTCCAAATCTAACAAAAATTTAAATGCAAAATCTTCTTTCTCCAAAAAGTCCCAGATGTTGGCTTTGAGGACTTCTGCTGTGATTTTGACCTTCGTAGATTTTAGCCAAAACTTGTTGGCCGTTGCGGAAAACGGGTTCGAACTTTCGTGCAAACTCTTGGTATTATACACGTCAGCGGTTCTCTGGCGAGTGTTGTTGGTTGATAACGCCATATCTTTATTCATCCGCCTGAATGACTCTTCAACATTTCTTTGACGCGGTTGTTTACGTTTAATTAGCAGCCTTACCCGAACTGCACAAGGCTGTAACCAGGAGAAAGCCTCCCGACTACTACAGAAGGAAAGCGTCTAATGTCATAGACACGAACACTAAATAGGCCTCTCATATGCACCAAAAGATTGTAAAAGTCGGCGGCAAACACCGACCTAGCATCAGTATGGATCTACCTGGAGTGGAGGCAACTGATGATTTCGGGAAGCTTTTACAATCTATGTTGAAGCATGCAATTTTAGTCAAGCAAACAGAGAAAGTTGACCCGGCACTACATAAATCAGATATGCTTGAATTGTTCGATAAAGTGGATACCATATTTCCTACGTACCTCTCTTCAGAATCCAGGAAGCAAGTCATAGATGCTGCGGCTAGAGCTGCTTTCAACAATTTACTGGTAAGCAATGTTAAAATATGGAATTTCATATAATCTAATATTCAAACAGGCATCAACAACCATTGACTCACCTGAGTTCGTCAACCTTTGGAATCTTCTGGATATCATTGCAATACTTTCTGACGACGAGCAGACCGAGCCTGGCCTACTATTCTGGCTAATTGAGGAGCTACTTGATAGTCAGACAATTGCAGGATGCCGGAAGATATTCGATTACCTAGAATCAAGACGCGAAAAAATAACGGCCAAGCACTTTCAGTCTAAAAATCTAATCATTTTGAGAAGCTGCAATGAGCTTCTGCGAAGGCTTTCCAGGGCTGAAGATACTGCATTCTGTGGCCGCGTTTTTATTTTTCTTTTCCAAAGCTTTCCATTGGGAGATAAAAGTTCTGTGAATCTTCGGGGCGAGTATCATACGGAAAATATTACAACATATGATTCACATTTTCCTCAAGGAATCGTCAACGAGCATCTACAATCGGATCCCGATATCAAGGTAGCTAAAGCTCCTAACACACAAAAAGAAGCTCTTCTTAGAGGATTTAGGGGCATATCTGATGAACAAATTAACAACAATACTTCTGCATCTTTCATGAAGGATACCAATATGATGAGCGGAGATCAACTTTACCCAGTGTTCTGGTCATTGCAGAATTACTTTAGTCACCCCAAAAAACTGTTTGACAAACCATCCTTCCGCAACTTCCAGGCGGGGCTAGAAGCAACTATGACAAAATTTAAATCAGTGCAGAAAGAAAACATCACTGATCGTACAGCCAAATCCCCGGATAATCCTTCCAGAATTGCTAAGCGTAAACGAGGTCATGTCGGTGACGGAATCTCGAATGCTTTTAACCCCAAATACTTAACGAGCAGGGATCTATTCGAACTGGAGGTGAGAAACTTCAGAATAAAAATTTGTCGCGAGTCTTAATTTTATCATAGATAAGTGATTTATCATTTCGGAGACATATACTTGTACAGAGCTTAATTATTCTTGACTTTCTACTATCACTAAGTGCAAAGTCGAAAGAAAAACTTTCTAAGGCCGCAATCGAAAACTACAATAAATCTGTCATGTACACTGACCAATTGCTCAGCGAAGAAGATGTGAGTAAGCTCATTTAAACCCTTACATAAATATCAAAAAAACCCTTTCCAGTAATCTATAAGGCCAATCAATTCGTTATTAATTGTAGGTTTTTACTAACAACCAGTCAAAAAATAGACAAATTGGGTCCTGGAAATGAAAAAGTTAACTGCCGAATATTTAAAGCAAAGCCAAGATGGTCCATTCTTTTATCGTATGGTTGAAACAGTGCTTTCTAGAGATAAAAATTGGGCTCGATGGAAGATTGAAAATTGTCCATCGATTGCTAGACCTTCAATTACTCCACAAGAATATTCAGAATCAAAAACATCAGCTCGAAAAATTACAACCAGTAAAAGGCTTCGTCCGAATCCCATTGGATCATTTGACCTCCGATTTTTGGCAGAGGTTGATCGATGTCAAGGGCTAGAAAGATTAAAGGATTATTCAAGATATCTTGTTCCTGAAATCAAAAGTTTCAAGAACAAACTGGAGTTGGATAATATGGATCTCGAAATGGCGCAAAATGATGAACAAAGAGATTCAGCACTTCTTTCAAAAGCAAGTAAGAGCTGGCGAGCACTTCGCATAGCAAGGACGTCCAAACTCAATTCGTTCGATAAGATAGAACGAGCCGATAAGATCGATACTATCTTTGAAGATCATATTGATCTAGAGGAATCTAGGAATGCAGATGATGATTTAGACGATAGTGAAGAATATCTACATCCTAAAGAAAAACGACCAACAATATAAAACTATTCAATATTGATTATTGAAAAAACTCCAAAAAATTTATGTACAACAAACTGCTTAAATTAGAATTATTAAAGGCAAAAAATATCAAAGGAGCACTGGAGAATTAAGAATTGACCTTCCCCGCCGTGAATTTCTACTTCAAAAGTAGGAATCAGCCTAATTATCACAGGCTAACCATGTAGCACTATCTGGATCAGTGTAATGATAAAGGCTATCACTCATGACTCCTCCGTTTATTAGCTTTCAAGATTTTTGTCGTTTCGCATATCACGCGTCTCTTTCAGCTTCAACTTTTTCGGCTCAAACCTCGATTGCATAAAGTCTCGCCCTGATTTGCTCTCCTTGTACTCTTCCGCGCCTCTAACTAGATCACTCTTGTTAGTACCGGTCTTCAAAAAGTTACAATTCTTATGCCTTGATGGTATAACCTCAATGCTACAGGAAGTATGATGGACTTTTTAAAAACTAAGTCTAGAAAAGAGAATCACCTACAAGAAATTATTCTATAATAGCTTTTCAATTTCAGATGCAATCGTTATTTGAAACTTAAAGTCGATAAAATAAGAATTAGATAATTTTCAATTGTGGCATATTCCGAATTTATCCGAGTTCATTTCCTTTTTGGCTCCTCAGTCAAAGTTAATCAGACAAACAATCGCTTCTTGATAACCTTGAGCAAAAACGCATTAGAACCGAAGCTTAGCTTACTCATTTTCCGCCATTATTTAGTTAAAAACATGGCGATAGCGATATTTTATCAGACTACCAAATTCGAAAATTAAACTGCTACAGTTTTATTTTTATACATGTGAATTACAGTATGGTGCAACCTCATACGGTACGGTTATTTTTCCAAAAATTTTAAATCATGAAACAAAGAGACAAGGCTATGCATAAAATAAACGCCAAAGGAGAATGAAAGTATTGTGTCATAAATGTTAGAGGTAATGCCAGCTCAATCATCTGTTTGATTAACTAAGTTATTCTCCTAGCTCAGTAGTTTCAACCACCAGGGACCAGATGCTATGAATGCAATAAGCTCCCATAAAAAGAGATTGGCTAAATTATATGCTAACAACTTAAATGTCATGATTCAAAGTGGTAAAAAGGTGTCAATTGACCAGTCTACACAAAAAGTCATCTAGGTAAATGATGAAATGGATTAAATAGATTATACTTTCTATTGTCTCTCAAATTCAACAGTAGAGTGCCGTCAGTAAATCTTAAAAAACACCAACCATCGTAGACAACCAGTTCCCAAGACCTATCAAAGTGGACAATTTATTATTTTCGATTTATAGAAGCCTTAAAGATGAAGTTCGACTTAATGGATTGTTCTGACAAATCTTAAATATAAGTTGTTCTTACTGCTCAACTAAATATCGTACGTCAGCTGATGGTTTCGGTGAAGTTATTTTTTGGATTTAATTCTAGCCAACGTTATCTAAAGTCATTTTGTCACTTATCAGGCTGTTGTTGTATAGAATCTTGGTGCCATGGTTAAAGTTACGGATAGTATCAGTGTTCATTTTGATTTTGATATTTGGTATTCTTATTAACTTATCAGCGTGCCGCGAGTTGCGCAAGATTTTGTAACGATGAAGTATATCAGAAGCTTCCATTAAGAATAACAGGCAATAGATTGCTGCTTTTAAGAAACTAATGAAAAGTCGGCGCTATTTAAGGGAATTAGGATAAACTTGGGTGTGATATGGCAATAGTATGTGAGGGATACAAGTGTTATCTTATAGGTTACCATATTATGTTGTTTATAAACATCACACATCATAAAAAGCAGCGCAGCGCGGGACGCTGCTTACGATATCAATTTGATATGGTGAAATTCCCTTCTGTTTTTCACCTACCCATTCTTCATCATGAAACCTTTCGTGCGAAATAATGGTGGGTGTGGGAGCTGATGTAAATAAATCTAGCGGCAAAGATGCGTCGCGAACAACGACAATGGCAAACGACTCTGAAGTCAGTGGAGTGCAGGCAGCTCCAAAGACTAAAAATCTTGAAATATTGGAGAACCCATTAAATAATTTTAGACTTATGGTGGACGAAATAGAGGAGAATAGTTTATCTATTAAGAGGAAGATCACCAAGGCCGTGAAGGCATACAGTATTCATAAAACAGTCTAGATAGTTAGGACCAGTAACTCGTTTCTCATCGAGGAGAAGATGATGAAATTTTAGGAGGTCTTCAAGAAAAGATTTGCAGATACTGCCCGAAAGATAATTCCATCAGCGGTTTTTGGGTCATCGCCTCCAAGCATATACGCTTATGTCTTTGTATCTCCGATGGCGAAACCTGTGGTTTGCATAAGGATGGATGGAGCTAAAAGCTTTCAGCTGAAGGAGCTGCTTATAAAGGCAAAGGAGCATATAAAGAATGCTTATGTTATTCGTTAAATGCGAAATAACGATACCGAGATGTTTGTTCAGTCATCGTCCTAGAGAGATGTGGCACTTATCATGGCGCAACCCACAAAATTTAAAGTTCTGAGGCTGGAATTTATTGTTGAGATTTTCAGAGTGCCGTTGAGGGAAAGATTGAAGAGAAAAGGAATGAAAACGACACAGGCATCATCAAGGAGGCTTTGGCGGCGATCGGAGTCAAATTCTTGGGGTTGTGATTAATATAATTAGATGGCTACATGACTGAAAGGGACACGAGAAGTCCAAGAAAAACGGCCGTAGTATAGGATCCATCGTGATTATCCTCCTGTCGGAGACAATGCTAATAGAAGTGGCTCAACATAGCATCGCCATAGACGCCATGCTCTACGCCGCGCAAGTGTGTTCAGCACGCGCCCAGCCAGAGCAGCGCTTTAAATGTGGCCAGTGGGGACACAAGCGTCGTGAAGAAAAACAGACCGGTGTGGTGAGTATGCTGGTACTCACCAAACTTGAGACTATACGAAGAAAAGTGTCTCTCGTGCAAACTGTGGCAAGAAACACCATTCATGGCAGAAAGCAACATGTTAGACTTACTAGGTCTACAAGAGAAGTGTGACGAAAACTTGTATGGAGCTTCTCTCTCGTACAGCGGAAATACGGATAGAAAAACTACCTGGGGCAACTTCACGAACAGTTGGATTGACAGATAAACAGAGACTAACTTTTGTTGCCAGTAGGAAGACTGACGGACCAAGATGGGGGCGGGGACGTCCACGAAGGTAAGCGGTGGCCCCAGCGGCAACTTCAAGTGTATTTGTAGAAGTACTACCATTCTAGGCAACACTTTGTCAACCTATGCCGAACGAGGATGAGTCTTCTCTTTTTCAATTTTCCTAAGCTTAATCTTATCAATTTGGGAGTTAAAAGAATTAGGGGAAATAACTACGAATCAATGATTGAAAGAAACGCCCTCGCCAATAAGCTGGGCTATGTCATTGAGACGGAACGCCTGACTTTGTTGCTCAAGAGCCTTTTCCCTTTATATTTCGGCCATTTTTTATCATGGACTCGTTTATAGAAACCGAACAAGACAATAAATAAATTTATATATGTACATATACATATACATATTGTCGCCGGATCAATTGATATTGGTATACAGCTGAGCAAGTCCAGAATAAAATCAGTTAATTAATGAAATTTGATAGAATTCAGAATAATTGGGGCTATTAACTAGGCCACGATGATACACACGTAACTACAAATCTGTATTTAGTTTCACTTCGGTAGTTACTTGAATTAATGCGCTCTACAACCTCAATGACTGAGGGGTCATTATTACCTTCATAAAATCTAAAGAGAATTTCCTTCTACTCGCTCTATACATAAGGAACGGTAAGTATTAACGCCAGCTATTACAACCTATGTTGCTAGGAGGACGAAGGCTGAACACCTGTCAGTGGTGTCCTCTACAGACCTGGGAGTGAAATATTCACCCAGAGTTGGGATTCGGTCATTACAAAGGGTGAATTTGAGAGTTTTCGTCGAGTTGGCGATCGGGAGGAGTGGTGTTGGCTTAAATTTGGTCGAAAATCCGACTTGCGGAGGTTTCACGACTGCAAAACTAAACATAATCAACCATCTACATCCCAGATACGAACCGCAGACAGGCTACAACCTGTCTGATGTTCGCATTACAAAAACCGACACCTTCAAGATCTTATTTTCTTTTTCTCTGGTAATTCATTCTCAGCCAAACTCATCTCGTGGCCCTCTTCATAATCAACTCACCACCTACCTAAGCAATCCCATACCTCCAAAAGTCAAATCGCCAACTAGGAAGCGAGACGATTGTTGGTAAAACACGAAGTCAGCTGTCCGTCACGAAGTCAGTGAATAAAGTCAATTAACTGGTATCTCGAAATACATAAAACGTTATCTCTCTTCTCTTCTCTATCTCCCCTTTCTTCCTGTACTCCAAGCGCCTCGCTAATGAGCTAAGTCAGATCCCTGTCAGTGTCCTGACGACAACCTGAATACCGCAATTAGATACAAAAATTCATACTGCCCAAATATGATCCTTTTACCGATAACGATGCCCGAAACTCCGCAACTGTCAGTCACTGTGAAGGTACGGTTGACGTACCGGCCTTAAATGCGTCCTCATCTCGGCCAAGGGCACCAGCAACTCGACCTGCGACGAATCGCCACCGACAAATTTGTACGAAATTTCGCCGGCACACTAAATAGAGCGTTTGAAAAAGGCTGGGGCACCGGTGCCTCGATCTTGAGCTCTAAGCCGCGTTTTCGACCTCCACGGTTAGGGGTTTGGCAGCGACGGGGCAAGGCCGGAGGGGTGGACATTCAACAAAGTTTCTGGGACGACTAGATCGGCTGAAGGACAGAGGGATGCTGTATGAAGAAACTAAAAGGGGATATAAACTGAGGAGGCCTTGGTGGGCGACTGGATGAAGCCTCCAGTGAAGAAAACGACCCTGTCAAGGGATAGAGTGAATTGAGGGAAGTTAATGTCACGTGATATACCGCGTGTGATACACGATTCACGATGTATATATTTTTACATGGGTGCGTGT